TGTGTGTGTGTTTTAAATTCACATACCATATATCGCACATTTAAAGTATACAAGTGAGTGTTTTTTAGTTTATCCACAGGGTTGTGCTACCACTACCACAGTCTAATTTTGGAACATTTTTATCATCTCCAAAAGAAATCTCATACCACTAGCAGTCACTTCCCATTCCCTGCCCTAGACAACCACTAACCTGCTTTCCTGTCTCTATATATTTACCAATACTAGACAGTTCATGGAAATGAAATCTAGCTTTTTTTACTCGGAATAATGTTTTTAAGGTTCACGCATGTTGTAACATGTGTCCATACTTTATTTTTTTTTATTGCTGAATAATAGTCCACTGTACAGATATGCCACATTTTGTTTATTTATTGATCAGTTTGTAGGCATTTGGGTTTCCACTTTGGGCTATTATGAATAATGCTATTATGAACATTAGTGTACAAGTTTTTGTGTAGACATATATTTTCATTTCTCCTAGGTGTATACCTAGGAGATGTGATCAAAAGTATGGCGAATGTTTAAATAAAAAATATTTATTACAGTAAAAGACACATTGCCATTAATCCCCCTCAAAATACTCCCCCTCACTTCAAACAAACTTATCCCATCAATCTTGCCTCTTTCTGAAGCAGTTCTGGAAGTCCGCTTTCATGAGTGTCTTTACTTCATCCTCCATCATGACAACGCTCCATGTCACACATCACTTCTGGTATATGGCAATTTCTGTCAAATAAAAACATTACGGTGTGTCCTCATCCACCTTATTCACTGGATCTGGCCCCGTGCCACTTCTGGCTCTTCCCCAAAATCAAAATGACAATGAAAGCTAAACGTACGTTTTGAATCAATTCAGGACATCAAGGCAGCCACAACAGTGCAACTAAAGACACCCACGAAAGAGGACTTCCAGAACTGCTTCAGAAAGTGGCGAGAATGATGGGATAAGTGTGTTCGAAGTGAGGGGGTGTATTTTGACGGGGATTAATGGCAACATGCCTTTTACTGTAATAATTCTTTTTTAATTTAAACATTCATCGTAGTTTTTTATCACATCTCATACCTATGAGTAGAATTGCTGGGTCATATGATAACTCTATATTTAACTTTTTGAGGAACTGCCAACCTGTGTGTGTGTGTGTGTGTGTGTTTATGTTTATAAAATTACTGAGATAATTTCCCATACCATAAAATTCACTCATTTAAAGTATACAGTTCACTGGTTTAGTATATTCGCAGGGTTGTGCAACCACTATTACAATCTAATTTTAGAAAGTTTTCATCACCCAAAAAGAAACATTATATTCAATTAGCTGTCACCATCCATTCCCACTCCCCCCAGGCAACCACTAGTCTACTTTCTATCTTTATGGATTTGCCTAATCTAGATATTTCACGTTAATGAAGTCATACAATCTGCAGTTTTTTTAATCACTGGCTTCTTTCACTTAGTATAGTGTTTTAAAGAGTCATCCATGTTGTAGCATGGATCAGTATTTCATTCATCTCTATGGCTAAAGAGCATTCCACTGTGTGGCTGTATTGCCTTTTGTTTATCGAGTCTCACCTCTGTCATTACATGGCATTCTCCCCGTGAGTCTCTGAGTCTGTTTTCTTATAAGGACACTCACTAGTCATTGGATTAGGACCCACCCTACTCCAGTATGACCTCATCTTCACTAATTACATCTGCAAAGACCCTGTTTCCAAATAAGGTCACATTCTGAGATTCCAGGTAGACGGGAGTTTAAGAGGGACACTATTCAACCCAGCACAGGCACCAGGGAATAATCACATAAACTCGGGTAGAAATCTTGAAAAGCTGTAAGCAGAAGTAGAATTTTGTCCAAGTATAGTGCCAGAACATCTTTGAAAGGACTCCTCTGGGGCTGCAAACCTCTATGGAGCCGACGGGTTTCACAGACATGGCTTCATGCTGGTCAGATAGAATTCCAAGTGTCAGTGGGCCCAGCTCATCGTACTTCATCTTATTAACTGACCTCAAAACGGCTCTGATTTTGTCCACAACAAACAAGCATATTTGGATTTTTGGGCCAGGGAAAATTCTTTTATTTATTCAACAGACATGTACTGAATACCTGCTGTGTGCTGGAACTGTTCCAGGCACCAGGGATACAGCAGTGATTAGAATACATTTTAAGTACTTACACAGGCAGAGAGAGTTTTCTGGACCCTGAATTCATTTCATCCTCATAATCACCCTATGTCAATTTGTAAAGAAAGAAGCCAGGACTCAGAGAGGTGATGTGACATCTCCAGGTCTGCAAGTAAATAGACTGGGTCACAGATCTGATTCCATAGCCTAAACTGGAGGAGGAGGGCCCCATAGGTGAGGACAGGTCACTCCTCTTTTATACAGACCCAGAGTGTAAGCATTCAACATAGGGAGCATGAAGGACATACTTGGTGACGAGGCAGGATAAGTAGATTGTGACAAAGTGGCCTTTCTTGTCACACTGAGGAAACCTGGACACTGAGGAGTCAGTGAATGTTATTGAGGGAGTATGACTTATTATGTGATATATTTCATTTATTAACATATTTGATGTTGGGAGAAAGTGTTACAAAAGAGACAGAATCTCTATCCTTACTGAGTTTATAGCTTCATGTGCGGAATGATGAGAGAGAAGTTGGAAGTTGGTACTTTCCTGAAATTCTCTTTGAAATATAAGGAGGTACTGATGAGCAACAAGGTTGAAGAAATAAACAGGAAAATGGTTTTAAAAGGAAAGAGAGCTTTGTAAGTCATCTCGAGGATAACAGAGATCCACTGAAGAATTTTAAGCAGGGCAGTGACATAATGGTAGGATGTGGTTGTTGAGGAACAAAGAAGAGTCATCGATAATGCACAGGTTTCTGGCTTGGAGAACTAATCAGATGGTGATGTTGATGTATTTCACTGAGATGGAGAACACAGGAGGAGGTTGACAATTTCAGTTTCGATTGTTGAACTTGATCTGCTTGTGGAACATGTGAATGGAGATGCCCAGCCAGTGAAGGAGCCCCGGAGAGAGAAGTGAATTCGACATTAAGACTTGAGAGTTGTCATCACATAGATGGTACCTGGAGCTGTGAGAGTGGACAGGATACCCCAGGAGATTCTCCTAAATGAGAGTGAAGATCTAGTAAGGTCTAGGACAGAATCCTGAAGAATGAAGAGGTTCATTGAAGAGGTGAGCAGAGGGAGAGGAGTCCAAGGAGACCATGGCAAATGGAGAATTGCTTTCTCTGTACACTTTCCCTGTGTCATCTCAGGCAGCAGCTTACGTTCATCCCTGGCGCCATGGCTACTCCGTCCCCTAGCATAAGCCCTCTCTCCCCTGCCATTAGAAAGTTCATTTTGCAAACCTAATGGAGTACTGAAGCCATTGATTCTGTTAACACATGTCCTGTTCACTATGAGACCTGTAATGGGAATTCATTTTAGAGGTCAATACAGCTGTCAGTGGAAGAGTTTTCCCCAGAGGCCCATGGCTTTTTCTGTTGTGCATTGGCAGAAGCTGTCCCGCCTCGCTTCAGAAGAGACTGGAGAGTAATTAATGCTGTCGAGCTTTAATGAGCTGGGGATCCTGCCTAGGGCCTTGCGAAGGGTACAGATTGAAATAGGTCAGATAACAGGGAGTGGGGACAGAACTGTGTCCCCCTGAAATTTGAATAACCCTAGACAGCCACCATCACCACCACTAAAACATTATCCCCTACTGGTTATCACATCGCCAGAAATGACATCTTTTAACCTTTATTTCTTTTGCATAAGAAGTTTCACTTTTGGAATTATTATATGCTGAATGAATGTGTTTGCTTATTCTGCAAACACAGACTGAGAACTTTCTATGTACCTGACCTTTATTAGGTAAATGCTGGGACTGTAGAGGTAACAACATCAGTCACTGTTCTTAGAAACCCATGCGCTAACCAAGGAAGCAGAGTGACAGTGGATATAATGAAGCACAGGCCAAATGCTGTTGACACCCAGAGAAGTGACTGAGTCCAGAAAGGTTTCAGAGAGAATTTGATATCCGTGTAGGGTCTTAAAGTCTGCAGATGAGTGCCAGAAAAGGAGAAGTGAAATCCAGGTAGAAGGAAGAGCATCAGCCAAAACAAAGAATCATAAAAGGGGCTGTGTGCAAGGACTGATGAAGCTTCTATGTGCCTTGGGTATGGGAGCAGAAAAGCAGGAAATAGGTCAGACTGTGCAAGGTCTTGTATGTTATGCTAAGAATTTGAACCAAGCTTAGAGAGCCAGCCAAATGAATAATGCCAGTGGCTCGGGGTGTAGCACTCTAAGCTATTATCTGTCTTGAATACCTCGCTTCCTTTCTGACATAACAGACAAGAACTTAAGATAAGACTTAATAGAAAAAAAGACCAATAGACAGAGAGTGGTGGGTACAAGAGTTGGGACATGGGGAACACGGTTGTCCACAGAGGACCTGGAAGGGCAGGCAGGAGGAGCTGGGACCAGTCTCAAGGGACAGCTCCCCATGCACTGGTGCTTTTATCATTAATACAGTAAGGCACAATCCAAGGGCCTCAATTATTGAGTCTTCAGGAATCAAAGCCTTAGCTTTGAAGGAGTTGATGACAGCAGGAGCCACCAAAGAGAAGGAAGGCAGCGGTACTCAGTGCTCCAGAGGCTGGCCTTGCTTGAGGGTCAGAGTCGTACACCTGGACCACAGGTAGCCACGCCTCCTGGAATCGGGGCAGATGCTGCCTGGGTTGTGACAGGGAGTGGCCTCCAGGTGACTCCAGGGGCAATACCGAGGTACAGAGCATGTCCTTTTCACCAAGATGGCCGGGAGGCCACAGCCCTCCTCACTCGGAGGGGAGAGAGGGAGCAGATACGTGAGAGGGAGAGAATGCTGCTGCTGCATCGTTGCGTCTACTCTTGATATTTCTCCTTCCTCTGACAACCCACTTTGGGACAAGGACACCTTCCTTTCCTTTGTCACTCACAGAGCCCTTTCTCCTTTTCACAGACTCCCTGAGAAACATTTCCGCAGCCACTCATGGGCCCCGCTCCTCTCCAGCAGAGCTCAGCAGCTCCAATCAGCACCTACTCCGGGAACGAAAATCCTCAGCGCCATCGCACTCTAGCCAGCCAACCTTGTTCACATTCGAAGCCCCTATGTCGAACCACATGCAGCCCGCCTTGTCCACCAGTGCACCTCAGGAGTATCTCTACTTGCACCAGTGCATAAGCCGGAGAGCAGAAAATGCCAGGTAGGACACTGAGGAGTATGGGTGCGTGACCGACCGCTCATAGGGCCTGGGACTTTTCAGTCTCTGTGTTTTAATTTTAAAGGCAAGGGGCTAAAATGTTATATCTTATATCAAGGTGAGTAAATATATATTTATAAAACATTTCTTTTTGTTTAGGTAACAGTCACATTTTATTGGTATCATCTATGCTGCCATATAGTGATGACTGGATTCCAGAGAAGCCTCTCTTTATCAAAAATCACATTATAAAAATGTTTTTGTTTAATTTGGGAGAACAGGCATTTGGAGCAACAGTTTCAGACTGAAAAAAAAAAAAGTCAATGTACTTGTTGGCCTTAAGAGCATAGCTACAAAACCTTAATGTATTGAACAAATTTCACGTCTGCTCTAGAGCTGCACTGTTCCACACAGTAGCCACTATTCCCACGTGGTTATTTGAATTTGAATTAATTAAAATTCAGTAAAATTTAAAATGAAGTTCATCGGTTGCACTAGCCACATTTCAGGTGCTCAGTAGCTGCACGTGGCTGGTGGCCACCATACTGGATAACACGGATCTGAAACATTTCATCATCACTGAGGCTCCGAGAGCTAGGACTGCCACCCCGGAATAATGGTCTTTGTTTTTCTGGCACCGCCAGCTCTCTCACAGGTACAGAGCCTGTGCATTTTGTTATTACCTTTTATTTCCATTATTAGGATAAACAGAAGCACAGACCTGATGGGCTTGGCCAGAGCTAGTTCCCAGTTGCTACCATGGCCAGCAGATGATAAACCATGTTCCTTAATTAGTTAATGTAGAAATATCTAATTTGTGTTATGAAAATTAAGACAATTAGAGGACTGGCTATATTAATATATCACTTCACAGAATATTTTCATGCATAATCTCACTTGAGCCAGTCAAACCCATTGATAGCCAGTATAGATTATTTGTCTCTATTTTATAGATGAAGACACTGAGGCTCACAGCTAATAAATGACAGGACTAGAAACCAGGTCTTCTCGTTTCTGGTCCAGTGCCCTTTTCTCTACACTGTGCTACACTGGTTCTGGTTTTCTGAGTCATTTAGATCACCCATCAGAGGCTCCCAACCCTCAATCTTATTGATACCTCAAATACCTCAAATATTCATTTTCCTGAAACAGCCTGGTTCATTGTTTGTGGACTTGAACTAGTTCAGCCTCCATAAGCTTATACATGAGGAGCTGAGTTCTAAAATGGTAGAATGAATTGGCCAAGATCACTGAATTAGTGGCATAACTATAAATAGCACCTGACTCTCCTGAATCACAGGCCAGAGATAGGCAGTGTGTTATGAGGAAAAGCATATTACAGGCTTTGGAGTCCATCAAATGTGGGTTCAAAGTCAGGTTCTGCCACTTTCCTTGTGATCTTGGGCCACTTCGTTAACCTAGTATACATATCACCAGTTGTCCTGTGCACCATCCACTCCTACAAAGATGATTGCCTGGGAATAGAGAATGTGTGTGAGTTCTTACAGTCCTCGTTCTAGTGAAAGACAAAGTGCTTTATATTAATGCCTCTCAGACTTCCATGCGCATATGAGAAACTTGAGGATCTTGTAAAAATGCTGATTCTGATTGAGCAGGCCTGGGTGGGTCCTGAGATCCTATCTTTCTGCTCAACTGCAGATGATGCCTGTTTAGATTGTCTGCAGTTCACACTTTAAGTAGAAGACCTTATGTAATGTTAACCAGTGCCACCACCTCCAATCCCATGATAACTGCTAAAGCAACGGAAAACAAATATATAAATGTCTCCACTTGAATTAGCAGTTAGTGCCCACTCTCTGCACCCCCACCTCCTCTGTCAAACTTCTCTTAGTCTTCCTAGCTGAAATTCATTTCTTCTGTGAATTCCCATAGTGGTTTTTTATTATCTCTCTCACAGCACTTGGAACTTTCTGCCTCATATTATAGATTTTTATATTAATGTGTTACTGCTCTTTGAAGATCCAGGACACCTAGTAGGTACATAATAAATATTTGAGCAAATCCATGTTGTAGAGAGAGAACATAATAGAGGAGATAGAACGTATCTACAGCTGGGAAGCACCTTTATCATGGGGCCGTGACTAAACTGTGCTTTCTTCTGTCTTTGTTTTCACTTGTGTGGGTGTTAGAGCAAGAGAGTGATGAGCAAGATCTTGGGGAGATTGTTGGAAAAAATAAGTTCAAATATTATTTGCAGAATTCCAAAGGGGATGGAAGGTGGGAAGGAAGCATTGTCCAGTCTGAAAAGACGATATAGTTTCTGGTAGTAGTGGATTAGCTTGCATGATACTAAGCATACTGTTACAATTATAGACTCTGGACAAAACATTAAAAAAAAAACTGTTTGAAGGCACTGAAAAGCAATAAAAAAGCAGGCAGAAACCGAAAAAGATTTGACCTTTAAAGGAAGGGATCCTATTTCTAGTCAAGATGGCAGAGTAGGTGAACGCTGTGCTCTCCTCTTACGACCACATCAAAATTACAAGTAAACTACAGATCAACCATCATAGAGAAGCACCTGAGGTCTAGCTGAATTGAAACCCTACAACTAAGGACATACAGAAGCAGCCAGCTTGAGACTGGCAGGAGGGGCAGAGACGCTGAACGGGTTGGTCTCACACCTGCGTGTGACCATTAAAAATTGGAAGGGATATTATTGGCTGCAGAGCTCCCCTCCGAAGGAGCGAGGGGTCCCAGCGACACACTAGGCTCCCCAGCCCAGGGTTTCAGTGCCAGAGAGAGAAGCCCCTGTAACTTCTGGCTGTGAAAACCAGCAGAGATTGTGGCTGAGTGAGATGAGGGTGGCTCCAGTCCCAGGAGCTCCTCTTAAATGGCCTGCGCAAGGACTTGCTGATGTACTTACTCTGTGCTCCAGCACTGGGGCAGTAGCTCAGAAGGCACTAGGGACATATGGAGAGGAACTGGCTTCAAGGTGAGGGCTAGAAGGACAGCTTTTTCCCAAGGGAGGAGCTGGCGGAACCCATCATATCTGTGTTGAGCCCTCCCTTTTCCTGACATGCAGAGGCAGGCAGGAGCCATATGTGAGTCTTCATCAACCTGGCTCACATCGTTTGTTCGCCCTCCCCTGGTGATTCTGAGACCCCACCCTACCCCAACTTTTGGACCTAACCAAGACATGTCCGGTGGCTTTTCCACACCAACCCCCTGCCTTGGCTCAGGCTGCAGACTTTCCTAAAATCTCACAAAAATTCATAAAACCCAGAGAAGCAGCATCTGGCGTCAGCATGTCCCGTACCTCTGGCTGAGAAGCCCTAGGTCCAGCACTAATGACAACCAGCTTAGGTTTGCAGCTTGGCCTCTCGAGGCAACTCCAAGCACAGCGTAGGCAGTGACCATCTGAGGATTGCTTTGTGGCTCATTCCTGGTGGCCCTGGACAGGGCTGAATTTGGCCTGCAATGGTTCCCTTTCCCAGAGGCCCCAGGGTTGACACACCCAGTGGCCAGCTTCTGACCAAGCCGGAGCATCCTCCAGCCACCTCCAAGGACAGCACACCCAAATGGCAGACTGGGCAGGCACCAGAGCCCTGCCTAAGCAAACCCTGTTCCATAGGGTCAGCCCCTGCACCACAATTCCTCCACTGTAGTCACAACCAGGCCTCACAATGAATCAGCCCAAGGGTCAGTCTCTCCCACTGACATGCAAACAGCAACCAAGACTCAACTACAGCAGGAGGGCACATACAACCCACACAATGGACACACCTGGAGCACCTGGCTCTGGTGACCAGGGATACTGTGCCACTGGGCCCCACAGGACACCTACTACACAAAGCCACTCTACTAAGACCAGGAGACATAGCAGCCCTATATAGTACATAGAAATAAACAGAGAGAGGCAGCCAAATAGGGAGACAATGAAATTTGTCCCAAATGACAGAACTGAACAAAGAACTCCAGAAAAAGAACTAAACAAAATGCAGACAAGCAATCTACCAGACACAGAGTTCAAAACACTGGTTATAAGGATGCTCAGTGATCTCAGGGAGAACTTCAACAAAGAGATAGGAAACATAAAAATGGAGATAGAAAACATAAAAAAGAACCAGTCAGAAATGAAGAATACAATAACTGAAAAAAAAGAGTACATTAAAGGAAATCAACAGTAGGTTAGACAAAGCAGAGGATCGAATCAGTGATTTAGAAGATAAGGTAGCAGAAAACACCCAATCAGAACAGCAAAAAGAAAAAAGAATCCAAGAAATGAGAGTTTAAGGGGCCTCTGGGACAACATCAATTGTACCAACATTCGCATCATAGGGATACCAGAAGTAGAAGAGAAAGAGCAAAAAATTGAAAATCTATTTGCAGAAGTAATGATGGAAAACTTCCCTAACCTGGCAAAGGAAATAGACATACAAGCCCAGGAAGTGCAGGGTCCCAAACAAGATGAACCCAAAGAAGCACACACCAAGACACATCATAATTAAAATGCCAAAAGATAAAGAGAATCCTAAATACAGCAAGAGAAAAGCAGTTAATTCCCTACAGGGAAGCTCCTTGGGACAGTCAGCTGATTTCTCAAAAGAAACTTTGTAGACAAGAAGAGATTGACTCAAAATATTGAAATCAATGAAAAGCAAAGCCCTACAACCAAGATTACTCTATCCAGCAAAGCTATCATTTAGAATCTAAGGGCAGGTAAAGAGCTTCCCAGACAAGAAAAAGCCAAAGGAGTTCATCACTACCAAACCAGTATTACAAGGAATGTTAGAGGAAATTCTTTAACATGAAAAAAAAGATAAAAAATATGAATAATAAAATGGCAATAACTATATATCTGTCAGAAGTTACTTTAAGTGTAAATGGATTAAATGCTCCAATCAAAAGATAGGGTGGCTGAATGGATAGGAAAACAAGAACCTTAATATATGCTGCCTACAAGAGGTTCGCTTCAGATTGAAAGGCACACAGACTGAAAGTAAAGGGATGGGAAAAAATATTTCATGAAAATGGAAACAAAA